TCGAAACTGCAGTCCATTTCAGTCGGGATGAGAACAATATTTGGGAAAGCAAGGCTATGTGAAATTGAATAGAAGCGTCAGCTCTACTCAAATCATTGTGGGAAAATTCAGCTTCTATCAGTTCTTCATCACCTTAAACGAAATTGTGGGAATACATCTCATACTACTGATTTACTGGTTGTCTCAAAACTCTACTCAAACACGGTATCAAACTGGCCTTGGCAGCGTAACACTTTTTACAACTCAGACACAACATTGACTTCACCTTTACTTTTCAGCCGACACCTGAACCACCGGATCTTCCAGAATTCCTCTTCAAGGTCGCCATTCTGGGGAAGAGTTTCAGCGGCAAGACGGCAGTTGTCGAAAGTCTAAGCAAAGGTGAGTATATTCGATGCAAATAGGCCCTTGTTCAAAAGTGAGTTGTTGCTAGATTTACCGAATGTGACGCATTCCCCACATTAGGAGATTGGCTTCGTGATCGTCCAGTGAATCGAGGCAGAGTAGAAACTGACTTCCAGAAAACTGTGGACCACTCATGATAACAAATGTAGACTCTCGGTTGATGGCCAAATGATTGTTGCCTAGACGGTTTACGGGGAGCATGGTAAACTGGCAGTAAAATTCGGCCGTCTTCCAAATAAAGATATTGAGATTTTCGGCATTTGCTGATGCGTCTCACTGGCCTCATTGTTCTGACGACTGGCGTCTTTAAGTCTAGTCAGCGTTGCGTCATTTCGTATGGGTTCATAACTTATTTTGGTTAAATAATACTTTCCAAAATCTTAATTTGTCGCCAAGATGCACTGATTTTGTATATGGATTTACGGGAGGGCAAATGCTGCATCTAAAAGTGCTAGATTCCACAAAAAACGATGTCGGTGAAAGAGAGAAAGAGAGGTCTGCTCTGCCCAAGAAGCCAGTATTGACATGGTCATGTGGTTTGGCAATTACTTGTTTCTTCTCAAAACACAATCCCATGGTTGCAATTCTTCCGGGACTGTCGATGAGACAACGAATTAAGTTTCATATCGCGGTCAAAGTTGTATGAGAACAGAATTTTGAGACGATTGGAGTAATGAATTGTATCATCTAACCATGTTTTTACCTTAAAAAAGCGTTAAAAATAGCACTAAATGAGATTTATTCACCATAATTAGTTTAAGGCGATGAAGGATTGGTAGTAGAATTTTTCCACAATGATATGAGTAGAGCTGACGTTTCCATTCAATTTCACAAAGCCCTGCTTTCCAAAAAGTTGTTCTCATCCAGGCACCAGTGGACTGCGTCGGTCTTATCAACACCCCCAGTTGGAGTCGAACCATGACAGTGCAGAATAGAAGTTTGAAACGTAAACCACCATGCCACGAATGCCCTTAGGTCAGAGGGCAAATGTGAATTTTAAGGAAGGCCAGGCTTTTTGCCATATAATATTCTTCAGTGGGATTGTCGATGATGCAAACTTATATTTGCTATAACAATCGACTACGTGACTTTATTTATCGCATTTAATTATTGTTTCCAGACTACCAGTTAAGCTGCAATATTAGATGTATTCACCCGATTTCGTGTAATGTGATGAAGAACTGGTAGAAGAATTTTCCCACAATGATATGAATAGAG